TTTATCAGTTCTACAACTATCCATGTCTTTATTGGTCTATCAGTTCTACAACTATCCATGTCTTTATTGGTTTATCAGTTCTACAACTATCCATGTCTTTATTGGTTTATCAGTTCTACAACTATCTATGTCTTTATTGGTTTATCAGTTCTGCAACTATCCATGTCTTTATTAGTTTATCAGTTCTACAACTATCCATGTCTTTATTGGTTTATTAGTTCTACAACTATCCATGTCTTTATTGGTTTATTCCAATAAAGACATGGATAGTTGTAGAACTTTTATCAGTTCTACAACTATCCATGTCTTTATTGGTTTATCAGTTCTACAACTATCCATGTCTTTATTGGTTTATCAGTTCAGAAAGTTCTACAACTTCTAGAGATTTCAGAAAAGTATGTTATTGGAGAAAATGGGGTACAGAAGTGTTTATATATACGTCTATGTATCGTGGGGTAGGTCATGATGTGGCTGATTTTTTTAATGAGGAGGGGGCATGTGGAAGCTTCCTGCGAGTTGTACTGGAAGCCTGTAGATGTATAACATTATTCCTGCACCCCTCACGAGGATTTTACCAGAACATAACAGTAAACTACCAGTTAGAAGCCCCAAAACTCGGAACTAAGCCTAGTAACTTCGTCCAAATATTCCTCAATAATCTTTTCCTTCTCGACTGCTTCGACGAAATTTAGTTAATTATTAAAATAAATATGACCAGAAATTCCAGATAATTAAAACTTTTAACGAACCTGGCGTTTTCGTCTTTATCAGAGGTTAGGTGTCTGTAATTCAACCAATTCAAACAAACAATCTGAATGGAACAATGACATTACGTGTCGTGACATCATATATCACGTTATTACCCTGACATCATATCACGTGATAACAACACGTTATTACCCTGACATCATATCACGTGATAACAAGACATTATTACCCTGACATCATATCACGTGATAACAACACGTTATTACCCTGACATCATATCACGTGATAACAACACGTTATTATCCTGAGAAACAAACTAATAAAGTAAATACATATGTATGTGCAGCTTTTATATTACATAAATTTTAAGTTAGACTGGTCAACCTTTCTATCTGTGTATCATGATTTTTCTAAGTAATTGTTACATTTTTTCCAAAACTTTAATATTGAAAGTTATTTCATTAGGCAGCCAGCCCATCTGTTAAAACCGTAGGTTTTGGTTTTTGTATGTTATCTAAATCTGATGCAGAACATAAAGAAAGCACTGTATTCTACCTACCAGGTTTCAGGTAGTGCACCATTAGCTTTTATGATATCATAATTTTAACGACGGGGTTTTCTTTAAAGCCACCTTATTTTTAAAAAAAATGTTTTTCCAGCTGTTTTCAATCCCATTTTGTACATCTGATGACTGTTTCTACCCTTACAAGGCAATTCAAGATATTGAGATTAAATAACAAATGAAGTACACAATGTGAAATGAGTCACCCACCACGTGCACGGCAGTGACAGGTTAGACGTTTGTAACAAACCTTTACGGGGTTAAAATGACCAGGCAGTCTCGATCAAGATTATGTACACCAGCCTTGACCTGCTTTAAACATAAAGAAGTAATTATTAACTTTCTTTTAGAGACGTAGAGACACAGTACTTTCATTGTTATTGGTGCCTACTTTCAGACGTCACTGTATTGATTACGCATGGATACTAGCTGGATTTCACTGTTTTACGTGATAGTGAAAAGGGACAAACCAAAATATTTTCACCAGTATTTTGTTTACCACTGAACAAATCAGAAAATGCTGTTTACTCCGTAAAATGATTTATTTGTACGTATGTAGTTTAAAGTAAACTCACAAGGAGGAGTACAATAAAATAAAAATATTTTGACAGTAAAAAACAAAACAAATGATAATAATAATAGTCTGTTGATGATTGTCATACCTTTGTTTTATACCTAGAGCTAAAACACATTTATAATTAGCTAATTATTCTGAACATCACAAATAATCATAAATTATTTCCAATTACCTAGGCTTTGTTCATTATACAGAAGTTGATTAAGTTATATTAAAACGATTTTGGAGTCTCACTACGCCATTACAATTCATATTGCCATGTCCAGTTATGCTTTATCTGTCAACCTTGCATCTTGACAATATTCTTGTAGCGTAGTTTATATTGTAAAAGGCTCCATTGTAGGGCTGTCATGTCGAAACCGCACTACTTCTTCCTGAATCTTTCCATAATCCATTAAGTATACGATGACGGAGGTTTCCCAGTGCTCGTTTCAACAGTTCGATCACAAAATAATACATAAGCGTTGCATCCATCAACTTGACTGGTATGTTTTTGTATGCAATAGCACGAATACATATTTAATTTTCCAGCTTCTTGGGGCATATGACGGTTGAATGGAAGGTATGACTTGAAGCCTTATTTTGGTGAACCTATATTCTGTTGGCCTAGTTTCCAGGCGAAGATCCTTCCTTATTATGTTCTGTGCTGTTACATGAGACGTGAGAATGACTTTTACCACTAACATTTATGTTCATGAATTCTCGCCTGTTACAAGATACTTCATTTTGTTTATCACAGCTGGGGTACGACTTCTTACAGGTCTCTTTTTGGATGGTCACGGATCATCAAGTTTATCCAGCCTATTTGTTTTTTCCAATGCCATTAATTACAAGGGATTTCCCCGTCTTGGATATATCTCTGATATAAGCACATCTGATCTGAGTGTATGATATTTGGCATTGGAAAGAGCTTTTGAATACCCTTTCAAAAAACAATAAATTTTTAGTGGTATTACACTAAGTTGACATGAAATCCTGCTATATTCCATTCAACCGCGACTATATATCGGCTGTGGTTATAACATGACTTACTGATTTGCATATTTTTAATATAATATACTAAACCATATCTGTATATATTCATGGGGTAATCTAAGGTAGTATCATTGGTGAAAAACTACCGAGACTAAAAAAACTATTCAAAATAAATAGTTTATCAGTTAGATAGGTTCCAAAGTCTTAACTTTATATACGATCAAGGTTTCGTAGATGTATTTTTTTTTTCATTCAGTAGTCAGTTGAATTGCGAAAAACCACTATTTTTTATTCTTAGACAATCAGCGCAGAAAAAAATGAAGCCTAACCAATAACAATGAATAGTTACATTTGTAAAGTCTTCCATTCATAACCCTAACTCCAATATAAATCAAGATCATAGGATTTAATCTTATTTAGAGACAAGAAACACACACTCAGCGAATTCTCTACGCTAAAGGCTTCTTTAATATCCAGTTATATAATACGACTTTTTATCGCTTTTCAGTTATCACGAATACACGATAATAACTTGAATTCTACGCGTGCAAAGAATTCCAAGTTGTTCAAAAAATGGGCGTTTCCCACAATTAATGTCTTAAGTGAGACGTGTTTCATCGCTATGTTTTGGAAATCATTGATTGATTCGTAAAAAAATTAATTATAATAGCTTTCCATCCCTGCTCTTGTCAACATTCGTTACCACTGTAATTTTTATGCTGGTATGAAAGTTAAATTCTATACATACAGAATCGTAACTTTAATAATTTAAATAACTCATTTAAAATCTTTCGAAACTAACAGTTACGTTCCTTCAGACTACTACTACTACTAGGGTTAGTTTTCTACTAATAGTATTATCATTATTAGGGTTAGTATTCAACCATCATTACTAGGGTTAGTCTTCTACTACCATCATTAAAGTTATTTTCCTACTAGCACAACTGGAATTAGTTTTCTATTATTATTCTTAAGGTTAGTATTCAACTATCATTACTATAGTTAGTATTTTATTGTCATTATTAATATTAGGGCTAGTCTTCTACTACCGTCATTAAGGTTATTTTCCTAGTACTATTCAACTGCCATTATTAGGGTTAGCCTTCTACTAACATCATTAACGTTATTTTCATACTACCACTACTAGGGTTAGTATTCAACTATCATTACTGATACTAGGGTTAGTCTTCTACTGCCATTATTAGGGCTAGTATTTTATTGTCAGCTTAAAGGTTATTTTTTTCCTACCACTACTAGGATTCGTTTTTTCTACCATCGTTATTAGCGTTAATTTTCAACTGCCATTATTAAAATAAAAAATGAGAACAAGATATTCTCCCCATCCTCAAATTTCCCATACGATTATTTGTTAAACATAAGAAAAAGGCGTCGTAAGACAACGGAAATCTTCAGTATTTATAATTATAAGTGTATGCAAGAATTACCTGAGAGGGTCATGGTAAATCTATGGAGGTCAGAAGGATTGACTCACAGAAAATCTGCCAGTTATAGTTCGTTGATAAGCAGAAAGCTACACAATGAGCTATGCGGGAAAAGAGAAGACCCCCCTCCCCCATCCACCCTGGTGGTGGTAACAGTCGCTAATTTATTCACTTATGTTCCATGTTGATTTTTCCTCTTCTTTCAAGGTAACGAAACGTATTAAATTAAGGTATATTCTGCAGTAAGACGTACCATCTTATATAAATACAAGGTCAGGAACTCGGGGCTTCACTGATATAAACATACCATCATATATAAACTATATAAAACATATCATTCTATAGACAACAAACTTGTATATAAACCAGGGGGTGACATTTTCAAAATACAAAATAGAGGAACTCAGCTGGGTGAAGTGGACCTGTTTTTAAATAAGAGGGAAAATCTACGTGTAAACATAAAATACGACAAAGCAGCTCAAATAAGTCCCAGTTATAGTACTGCCTTGAAAAACAAGTTTCGGTACTCAGTACCGGTGAGTACCGTCATAATATCTCTCCTGATATAAACTATATAAAACATACCACGATAATTATTCTTGTTAGTTAAACGTAATGATGCATCGATATGCAACATCAACCATCAACGAATGGAAAAAAAATCACGAAGCAAAATCAACCACCAAACTGTCAAAGATTACAAAAAGTGGGACATTGAAACTAAGGCCTCATAAGGAGGAAAAGTTGAAAACATTTCGAAAGAACTTCCTGGGAAAGGATAGACATAAGTGTGTTACGACAGTTCACATAACACTACTACTATACACTTTTCAACATGGACTTATTCTTCTAGTTAGGCTTCCAGGTGAGCATAGCGTTTGTGAATGACACGTTATCTAAAACAAACCATCGCAACAGATGACTGGAGGGTTTCACCTTACACTTACGATATATTTGTCAGAAAAACGATGAATAAATAGACTGTTTAATTAATTAAGCAGATAACCTAAAACCACGAAGAGGGCACTAGTAATACGAGTTTACCAAATCAAGCTGAGATGAATATTTTCCAAGAACCTAATGAGCGGTAACTCGTTATTCATTCCCTGAGAACTGTAAGAAGTCATTCACTCCCTGAGAACGGTAACTCGTCATTCATCCCCTGAGAACGGTAACTCGTTATTCGTTCCCTGAGAACAGTAACTCGTTATTCATTCCCTAAGAACGGTAAGAAGGCATTCATTCCCTGAGAACTGTAAGAAGTCATTCACTCCCTGAGAACGGTAACTCGTTACTCATTCCCTGAGAACAGTAAGAAGGCATTCATTCCCTGAGAACGGTAA